GTAGTGTGTTCTCATTCCTTATCCCACTTCTCTCGTCATTTCGTTCATTCGTCTAGGCATTCTCATCGCTGCTACACTCATTCTTTACTCTATTTTGTATCTACCGCACAACACTCCAAACCATAGATCTTGGTAGGTCACACCACACTCTTTTAGAACTTACTTTTAAGTCTCAAAGGAATTCTTTTGTTACATAAAAAACTCGACGCACCTTTCCAATTTATCCAACCTCACTAATCATTGAATAGAATATATAATTTCGTGTATCTGTACAGTATACAGTGTGCAAAATTTGCATACATTGTATAAAGTAAACTAACGCATACGGTTGTTTTTTAGTTTTCCTAATATGTTACTATGTACTGAAATTTTATCGCAAAGATCGAGGCAAATAAAGGATCGCAATTTATTTTGACGATAACATCGTAGGTAGCTAATGATTTATAATTGAATGGCCATGCGCTGCCGTCTGACGATTTTACAAAAATAAAATAAAAATAAAAATACTTTGCTTAACATTTGTGTACGAAACCGTGACATTTACTTTCGGCGTCGTCTCGTTTCGCTAATAGTTTGGAAAATTAATCTGACTGCAGAGTTTCGATATATATACGGGCAACAGCCGTAAAATAAAACAAGAAAAGAGCGACGTTTGCGTTGGAAAGTTTCGAGTAATAGCGAAATGTACTACAGGAGAAATGGGGAAAAAAAATCGTTGTTCACCAAGAGACACCGAAAGAATATAGCGCGCGCATATATAATTGGATTGCCCAGGCGGCGGAAAAGTTTTGAGTAAATCCACCGAGCCGTATATTATTCTGAAAATCTTTACGATTTTCGGTCCGTTTGTGGCACGAGCGCGCAAAACCGGTGTCGTTTCAAGCCGTCCGTGTTTGTACCACCTATATATAGTCTCCTCTAAATCGACAAAGATGATATTATTATTAAAAAGAAAAACCATTAACGTATTGATAAGCAAATAGTCACTTTGAAAACATCAATAAATTCTTCTTCTAAAAAAAATATACAGTAGTTATCTACCTAATTTAACCTATAATATCATATCCGCAGTTCGGACCATCTGGTTCACTTAACCGCTTGTGTCACTTGACCAAAAAAACCACACATCTAACGTGCATATTATAATTAAAAAAAAAAATATTATTATCAATAACCCGACGGTAAACGTTCGATTTGAATACAAATACGATTTTTCTTATTTTACTAGATTTTTCCGGAGTTTCCACCCGTATATATACTTTTGTTGCCGATTTTTTAATATGACAGATTGTTTATTTTTTCGATAAAATTGTTTAAATTTTATTTTACAGCATTGCATATTCTGCATAAAGCCTTTATAATTACACCTACCTCAGTGGAAACTCGAATGAGGTATATTTGAATCACGTCATTCACAAAAGCCGCGTGGGTGTGTGATGGGTGTTCAGAAATATAACCAAAACGATTATGTTTTTACAAAACAAAAGTTATTAAAAATAATTTTAAACTGCCGAAATTCGATAAATTTGACGAATTTAATTGAAATTTAATAAATTTCAATACATTTATGAAAATGTGGCGATAGTTTTGGTTTTTTTGATTAAAGTTAAAAATATTTCGAGTCGACATTAACCTAACTTATATTGACAATTAGGACGAGGATTTTCGCGTAAATATTTAACAATACCTACGTTGTTGTTTGTCGCCAAAATATATTTAGTGTAAAACCTGAAAAATTTAACACAAATATGTGTATTTTTAATTTCAATCGTAAAAAAAAAAAAAAAAAAAAAAAATATATTTACTATACACATTTTTAATGGTTTTACTTTATTTATTCATCGCTTCATTGTTGTTTTCTCAAAATTGATTTGAAGCGGTCGAAGGAACGTTCGACGTCGACCGAGAGTAATGGGACATATTTCATATTTGACGTATCAGATGATTGCGGTCCATTGGTATGTTTTCATTTGTGTTCAGAAGGATATTTTTTTTTTTTTTTTTATAGCTGTTACGATTTTTTTAAACTTACGGCTTTTGGAAAAAATTAACGAAACTTCAAACATAATAACGGCCGTGGTCGATATTTCGATTAAATTTAACAGGCGCCTGTATACATAATAAATTTACGAAATATGTATTCACATCGGAATACGTGAAAATATTATAAATGAAAAAGTCCCGTTTCATTTGGGGGTGTTTTGACACGCGCTTCTTTGAGATTCTGGGTGGGGCGAAGAACCTTATGGTTGTTAATATCAGAATTATTAAGAAATCCGGATTCAATAAAATCAAAATGTTTACACGAAATTCCGCGTCCTATTGATAACATTTTACGTGCAACTCGCGACGAGGTCGAATATCGGCGAGCTTGTAGTACGCTCGTAATTATGATAATATCGCTCGGGGGCGTAGCCCGCGTGTAAGCTGCGTCAGCATCGCCAACAATTTCAATCGAAGACAAAAATAAAATCGCTCAATCATAAATATTAATTTTAATTATTGAATACTCGAAATCGTAGCGGTTTTCGTTATCTTTTCGGCATTTTCGCCACGCTATCCGCCGATTACTTACCTACCGTCGAACACGGTCTATTTTCGATTTATCGTGTTATCGGCATAGGTATCGGACCACGATGCGCGCACGTCCTTGTAACACAATCTGAAATTGCTTACGTGCGATCGTTGTTTTCTGTATGGCATTGGGTCACGTATTTTAGCCAGAGTTTGTAAGCACCGCATTTGATTTTGCTTACGCGAGTATAGCGACCAAGCCCGACGGTTCGATAATAAAATTGGTAATATAATTCAGTTCTATTTTCGACGTCGTCGGGGAGTTTCGCCGTAGTCTACAATCGCTACAGTCTCATCGCTTGATTTGTAATACGCGTTTGTAATAATTAGGTAATAATAATGTTCGTAATTTGATCGGTTGTACACCGTTAAATGTAGCACGTTGTTAAAACTAATTTCACGTTCACATAAATACACGGGTACACGTGTTATTACGAAACACGCCTATTGATCCGTGTATTTTAAAATGCACATGTGCTTAATAATAGTCGTGTAAATGTATTGTATTCTGGTACTTTTATACTCAAATATTATTTGCCTTAAAAACATTATTATTTAATTACGTACAAAAAAAAAACAAAAAAAAACCTTTTATTCAATGTATTGTTCACTGTATATGTAGGACATACGATTCTATTTGATTAAAATTATGTTATTATGTTGAATCAGAGAATTAACATTTTACATCACTGGACGTGATTGCGCAACGGCCAACGTCAAAGTCGCGTGCATTATTAATTAAATACACGTGTATTATTATATACGCGTATAGTTATAAGTACACCGTTTAAAACACGTGTATTTAAATGCACGTAAACCCGTGCGCACTTGTGTTTTCAAATCGCAAGCACCAGTTTTACAAACAAAAAGACGCGTATAATCCACACGTGGCTGGGCCACTGCTGTGAGATATCGGGAAGGTAGTAGAGGAGAAATTTAATGTACGTCTGTAAGCGACGATAAATCATTGTCGAGGAAAAACCGATTTTGAACGGAGTTCAGTTGATTGTGTTACTCTCTCAACAATATATAATATGCCTATATTACTGTCAAATAATTACATATGCATTAAACGTTTTCTTTAATAATATCTGTTTAATTTCGCGGTTTTTTTTCCTACGTTTTCCCCGGTTTTTCCAAATCAATGGGAAAACTACTGGGGAAACCATAAAACGTCCTCCATAAAGTACCTCTCCAGGCAGATTTCCTTTCGGAAAAGGTTCTTGGCACACTTAAAAGCAAGATATCTGGTAGAAAAGTTGTGCACAATACAAAAAATAAAGAAAAATAAACATCATTGTAAAACCGTAAGTTTCGTCGGATCTAATATGTTAAAAGGACGAAATTCGTTTTCATTATTTTTAAAAAATTTATGTTCCGTTGACATTTCAAAATAAAAAATATCACTGTTTGCGTCGCCTGGTAACATTCACGCCGAGCCACTGATATCGTTTTAACATTTCGGTAAAACGCGTCCCGCCCTCGAGCACGGAGTCGGACGATTTGACGTCGTCACTACGCACGTGACCGACTACGGGAACACGAAATAAATTTTCGTCGTTTGCACACCGTTTCCGGACCGAAAATCGAGCGCAGTCAGCACGACGACGCGCCCGTCCGCTCCACAATTCGTATTCCCCCGCGATAAATTTAACGCCACGTCAAGGTCGATCACTCGTTCGCAGTCCTCGGTTCTCGACGGTTTTATCGACGCCCCCGATTTACTATCGTACGTCCGTTTTCACGGTAACTGCGCTACCTATAACCCACTCCGTCGTTACACAGAAACCGTTCCCGTTTGGAGTGATTGGGCTCGAGGGGTCTAAACACGCTGAAAACGCATAAACAGAGAAATCGGTCCCCCTCGGGTTACTAATAACCAGGGTGCGGGGATTATAATGCAAATTACATTTTAGATTCTCAGTGGAGCGGTGGAGCTCGTGTATTTACGACGATGTAATTTGTTTTTATCTTGCGCGCAACTCTTCTACCAGAAATATTACTCCGGGTTTTTAGCGTCGCATATTTTATGAAAGGAAATCGGCATGGAAAGGCACTTTCAGAAGGCCATTTTTCGCGATTTTTACAGGAATTTTGTTCACAAATGAAATAAATCCGGGAAAAGCGTAGGAAAAACAAGAACATTGGTATAACATTAAATTAATTTAATCGAATAAAAAAAATGAATATTATTGAAGAACACATTTAATGCCTATTTAATTGTTTTACCATAATACGACATGTATATTGTTGACAAAGTATCACTATATCAACTGGACTTCACTCAGAATCGTTTTTTCGTTAGCAATGATTTATCGAGTGTTTTTTTTATTTTTATCAGTGAAAAAAAAAATTAATTTAAATTATAAACTATAAAATTGTCATTATTGAGATGTTTGTATAATAGCATTAGACATATATACGCCACCAACGACCATACCGCGTTAAATACACCGGTTCTCGTCCGATCACTGGAGGTAAGCAACGTCGGGCGTAGTTGGTACTTGGATTGGTGATCGCTTGGGAACACTACGTGCCGTTGGCATTTTTTATTTATTACTTTTTTTCTTTAAAACTAAAATGAGAATTTAATATTATTTCCAAGCACAAAATTCGTTTGGTGCATCAAAGAATAAAAATATGAAACTTTTATTTTGCATTTTTAGTAGAACTTAATAGTGCTTTCGAAAAATTTGTATTGTATTCGGAAAATGTATTTTGATTTCCTCCGAAAAGAAAAAAATAATAACATTTCTATTTTCTAAATGCATTATCGATCGGACAAACACGATGCCGGACAATGATGATGATGACATTGATCAAACATGATGACAAACACATTGATTTCTTCAATAAAGAAAACGATAGACTGTATTAATTATCGAGTTGTAACGTAGTCAACTATTGCACTGTTGTGTTTAGTAAATTTACGTTTCTAATATTAAAAAAAAAAAATGTTTTTTATTTTAACGTTTAAAATAATTTTTGTAGTATTTTTTAACCTTTTTATTTTTTTACATATATAAGTGCGTTAAATTGTATTTTTCGTAAGGCATTTTTCTTGGTTTTTAAAGCATTTAAATACGCGCCCTACTAATAATTACAAATAAAAGTTACTATAGTACGGCCCGCACAAAACGTGTTGGTAATAATATATGTAATTTGTCGGGGGCTAATTTCTCTGTTTAGACGTTTTGAGCGGGCTTGGACCCCTCGAGCCCCCACTCCTCGTAGTTCTCGTCAATTCCACCGACCGCATCAGCTCGCCTTTATTACCGGCCCTATTATCGTCTCCGGGAGCATCGATCCTCGCGACGCCTCGAAGCAACCTCGCAATCTTTCCACAACCGCCGCCGCCGTTTTCGTTTTACTTCGGACATTAGTTTAACCGGGGGCCGCCCCCGCCACCGCCGCCGAATTATTTTTAGTCAAGATATGAGTTCGCGTATTTAAATCACGACGCCCACCGTACACGGCAAATAAAATATTTAAAACAAATGCGCGCGGTATCCTTTGAAACTAATACAAATTTATATTCCAGTACTGCGCATTTCGCCGGTATATATTTGTATAGTGTGCCGGGAGTCAGAAATTGCGTTTCGTTTTCATTATTCAAAGTACGTGTACGTGATGACGCGCAGTAACTTACCTGTCTTTACGACGTGTGTATGCGCGTAACTGCAACGGCGGAGAAAGCTTTAATTTCAACGGTATAATATAATGTAATATACAGGATGATTTTTTTTTTTTTTTTGTTTGCATCATGACGCGGCTACTTTCTCAGGTGGTTTTCGTGCGAATTCGGATGGGTTTTCAACCGTTATGGAATTATTTTCGGATTATATCTACACCGTTTCAATATATTTATTTAGAGTGTATGATAAAACAGTATAATAGACAATCGGCAACGCATTGGGGTTCAATACGAGTGTTGATAATTAAGTACGGTTATACGCTGTCCTGTAAAATATTCGAAATTTCAACACTATAGTACCTATTAACTATAGTAACTATTATAGCGGTGGGAAAAATCCGGATTTGCGTATTCCGGAAATTTACTTGAAAACCATCTATTTCACGTTTTTTTTTGTTTAAAAATATCACAAAATATGTAACACTCCGTAAATTTACATATTATATTATTAAAACGCTCACTCGGGAGGACACGAAACGCGAGTACAACGTGTGGTGCGTGCAAAGTAATCGGTCGAATCAAATATAAAAAATAAAAACTACATAAAATTAATAAATAAACAAAAAAAAACATGTAAATATTAAATCAGATGTTTATTAATTATTGATACTAACAAATATCGACATCAGACTAGTATTCAAAAAAAAAAAAAAAAAAAAAAACCTAGTTTATGGCGAGATGCGTTTCATCACCTAAACGGTTCTATAAGAGAAATTTAGTTTTCAAATTTTAGTGCATATTTTGTGAATTTCGTACGTTTTTCGTACGTGTGCAATAGATGTCGTACTCTTTAAGAGCGTCATTACGATTTTCGTACATGTATCCAGACGTCTCCGACACGGATTTCGTTTAAATAACGGCATAATATTACGTTGACACTTCCAGTGCATGTATCTGCTCTAACCAGTGGCGTAACCTACAGGATTTATCGTTGAGTGGGAGGTTTAGTGGGGTCTAGGGCGGTGTATCACTTTCGTATACCTATGGTTGAAAAAATTAATGGCGGCGAGGGGGAGGGGGCGGCGGTTACAACGCCCAAAACCCCCTCCGGCCGGTGGTGATAAAAACGAAACCGAAATACGAGCCGGCGAGAACTGTTGCGGTTATATAGTACACGTGTACAGCAGGGTATGTTATACGGTATCATGGAGTAAAATACCGGCTGTGTTATTAGTAACAAAAGAAAATTTCTATACCACGCACATATTATTATTATATTTCCGCAAAACCTTTAATAACGTATATTATTAATTTTTTTTTTTTTTTCTTATTTCCCCGTTCTCATTTTACCCGCGGTCGCGGTTGTTTTATAGACGCGTATCCATCGCCGGTGCCGCGCAAACTGACAACAAAAGGGATTCAATTACTGCGGGGACGGGGTCGACGAAGAAGAGGCCGGTTTCGGAAGGATTTATAACTATTGTACCGCGAAACATAAAAGAATTTCAGTCCGAGACAAACATGCAGCTATAGTCCGTCCGGCTACTGCTGGTGCCGGCGGCGGGCGGGTAGAAAGATAGCACAGGAGAAGTAGGCGTGGGGGGAGGGTTGCGGGGGAAACTTTCTACCTCCTCTCGGCCACCACCGCGATATTATTATCCTCTTATATTCTTTTCTTACCGCCACCGCCGCACTATACTCTACTCTTTTTTTCTTCTTTTTTTTTTTTTTTTTTATATATATATAATGCCGCACGTTATCGTCACGGGTTTAAATAGTTTTCTTTTGTGCGGGAGACTTCCGAGAGATGAACATCTATGCACGGACAAGAGCGACTCTTGATTTACCGTCGCCACCGGCGGAGAACTCTCGGCGAGGTGGCGTGCCCTTTTCGCGCGCGCACAAACACACCGACCGACTTTTTAATTTCGATACCGACTCCCATACCACCATACAGCCGCAGTAGGTGGCACATTCGCGACGGATTTTTAATTAAATTCGCTGAGTGTGATAACGCGAACGAAAACGAAAAAATTAAACAAATATATAAATATACCTACGCGAATAAATACCGAAAATATTAACAAAAAACAAAAAAAAAAAAAAATTAAGAAAAGTTTACATTTTCGAGAAACTGTTAAGATGTTGGCGTTTATAATTGTTTTGTTTGTTTTATCTACTGCAGGGTCTCCGGATTTAGCGTGAAACTAAAACCTAATAAATCAAGCTGAGCCGAGCCAACGTGGTTGAATATTAAAGATGTAATTTGGAACAATGGCCAAGGGAAAAATAGCCACGGAACAAAATATGTTCGTTTACTAAAATGACCACAGGGAAATGTACAGATAAAAAAAATAGTTTTATATTCTGGACGGAGCGAGAAACGTATTGGTTTCACAATTATGTTTTTTTTTTAATTTATAATTTTTATTTTTTCTGCGAACAACTTTCCTATCAGAAATTTTTCTCCGATTTTTAAGTATAGCGCTTTTTTTTTCGGATATTAAATTTGATTGGGGCGATACTTTAAAAAGTTAATTTTTAATTTTTTGGGAAAAAACGTAGGACAAATTTACGAAATGTATTAATTTCAAATCGTAAATATTGCGAACTTTCAAATCATGTCTAACCGAACTCCATTGGGAATCGTTTTTCGTTAGGTAGAGAAGATTAATCTTTGCTTACAGGTGTACATTAAATTCCTCACTATATCTTATCTTCTCGAATTATCATCTGCAATAGAAGCCCACCGATACGGGCATACTTTGCACGATAGTTGTATCGCGCAAAGTATGCCCGTAGTTTTTTATCGTTTTGTTAAATCTGTTCCGCGTCCATTTTTGTAATTGGTTATTATTAGGTGTCTAGATTCTCACGTTATGATCCGCGCGTAATTCAGGGATTGGGCCGCGATTCGCCAAGAAGCAGCGCCGGGCGACGGTGACGCCACTTTCTCTAATTGTATTTTATTATTTTACCGCGGTTAAACGGCGGCGTTTGCGTACGATAATCTCGGGGACCCAGGGTGACGGTTCCCTTCAGACACGCGAACAGTGGCGACCCGCGGCCAGACCGGCGCTGGGCGCGGGCGGCAGTTGTATTGCGCTGTTGTTGTCTTCGACCGGGCGACTTTCAATAATGTTCCGACGCGAAAAAAAATAACGCGATTGACGGGGCGTCCGTATTTCTGATACCGTAATACACGTGCACGACCTCGGGTCTTTATTATAATATAATTTTTTCGCGTTCGAATTATCGGGTTTCCATTGTGGATTATCCACCGGCTCCCCAGCCCCTCCGCGCCGGCCCTTCACTCGCGGCGAATATCCGTCCGACTGGCGGTTTCGGCCCCGATAAGCGTAATAGTAACGATATCGTATAACCTAATATAGTGATATACAGGTACACGCGCTTCATTATGCGGTTTCGTTAAACATTACGACCGCGATTAGCCGCCGCGGCGTTATTGTTCTCACCGTTGTAATATTATTCCGGACGCGTCGAAAATCGCGATCGTCGTAGTATTGTTACACGCAACATCCCCTGTCGCCCGTACACACTTGCGTTTGAATTATTATTACAAAATAACGATAATTATTTTTACGAAACGGCGGCGGCGGTGTTATTTTTCGCGGGCCTTTTAACGCGCCGCCGTCGTCGGTTATACGAAATTATTGTTATTATTATAACATCATAACACGATGATAAACGATCGGGTTTACCGACGCGTTTTTCGGGTCGGTACATAATATAACAATCTATTTCTTCATTTTATCATTATTATTATTATTATTATTTTTTTTTTTTCGTTTTTCAATCGTTGATGACGATAATAATAGGTTATTCCGAGGATAATGAATTTGCTTTATTCACTCGCGCATCCCGCGCCGCTCCCGGCACATAACGGAAAC